CCTCCCCTCCCCTCTCCTCTCCTCTCCTCTCCTCTTCTCTTTTCTTTTCTGCTACCACTTTTAGGGAACATCAAAGAATGTTTTCCTTTGCCTATTCTTCCTTAGAACACAATGTTACATCAAACATTTCATGTTTGGAGTTTTGTTGCCAATTCTTACTTAGTTCTTTTGAGCAAGGAAACAACATGGATTTAAAACTTATGAATGGCTGGACTGTGAACCGAGTCTGTGCTCATGTCAATGCTTGCTCGGCGTCTTGCATGGGACCACGTCCAGGCAGGTGTGCCATCTGGATGCTTTTCCTGGACTCTACTGGCCCAGCCACCCACAGCAGGAAGCAAATGTGATTGTGGCCCAAGCAGGTGCCAGGACCTCATTTTCATCTCTAGTTAGCATCCTTTCAATACAGTTGAGAAAACAAGACTGCTCTGCTATATTTTATTTGTGTTTGAATAGAGGACTCACTCGGTGTTTCTACATTCTAGAGGGAGACAAGGAACCCGACTCCACTATGACTAAGAGGCCCATTGGCATGGTCACCATAAAGGAGCAGTAAACATGAGCTAGACCCAGTCCTGCCCGCAAAGAGTTTTAATTAATTCTGGAGGCTCCGTTCTACTTCTCTCTTTCTCCCTATATCCAATTTTCTTTCAAGACAATAACCTGGAGATTTTTTTTTTCCTTTCTCCTCTCCAGCCTTCATCTACAATTCAAACTAATGCCTATGGCAAGAAATCTCTACCTCTAAGTCCGCAGTAGATTGCATAAGTCCTACCTCCCCTGTAACAGTACACATCTATGGCCACTGTCGTGTGACTTGTGGTGCCTCATTGTGGCAGTGTTGTCAGGCTTGGTCATATGTCTTACTTGGGCCAGTGTCACAGGAGCAGAAGTGACAGTGGGCCAGTTTGGAGCACAAGTTTTAAGAGGCGGCATAAACCTTGAAGACATGGCTGCCTATTTCTACCAGCTTTTTCTTGCCTTTCTTCTGCCCTGATCCAAATATGGGCTTCGTTTCAGTTTGGGTATTAGAATGAAAGGACATTAAGAAGAGCTGCAGCCCTGGAGCCCTGGCCCGTGTGGCTCAGTTGGTTGGAACGTTATCTCACATGGGTCATGGGTGTGATTCCCGGTCAGGGTACATGACTAAGTTGTGAGTTCAATCCTTGGATGGGGCGCATATGAGGGAGGAAGGGCAACTGATCAATGCTTCTCTCTCTCCCTGTCCCTTCCTCTCTCTCTAAAATCAGTAAAAACATATCCTTGGGTGAAGATTAAAATAATAATAGTAGTAATAATAATAAAAATAAAATAGCTGCAGTCAACCCACAGCCACCAAACTAATGTAAGTGAGAAATAAAAATAATATAAAAATAATGCTGTTATAAGCCATTGAAAATTTTAGGGTCCTTTGTTACTGCAGCCAAGCCAACGAATACAAAGATCAAATCAAAAACAATAAATGGAAGATATAATAAATGCAACAGTCACAATTCCAAGTCCCTTTATTTATATAAAAGTATATTAAATAAATTATCTCAACATATACAAACAGAACAATATTACCTCTATAAATAGAAAATCCCCATATATAAAACCTTTAAAAAATTATATAAATATACACAATGTTGACCATATAACTTGAAGTACCTTAAATCATAAACTTTATGTAGTTGGTTTGTATAGTAGTCTTATAAAAATATAGTTAGCTATCAAGTGTTTAATCAACAGCATTTAAGTCAGTTAAAGTGCTAAACTGTAATGCATACTGGGAACGTGCCCAAAGGAGACGTCTTCTGCATATAACACATTCATGTAAAAGTTTGCTGATTGTTTTAAACCTCCCAAAAATCTCTTAAAAAAAAGAACCTAAACACCACATTTAAAAAGGATAGACATATGATAGAAGAGCCCACCCAATTTCCACTTTATGCACCCACATGGTTTGAAGTCAGCCTCTGGAAAGTTCTCAAAAATTCCACCCAGGATTTTTAAGGCATTTGTTCATTTGTTTTTGCTTAGATGACCTGGTTTCGTCTTGAGTGTAGAACATACAGTTTAAAGCATGATCTGTGCAAAAGGTGCCATAGTGTTAAAAAAAAGAAATTTAAAAACTTGGAATTGGTCGTACCGTTCATTACATTCCAAAGTGACTAGCACTGGTGGCAAAACCAGAATGCCTATCGTGAGAACAGTCAGATAAAGAACTTTCTTTGGGCCCAAGGGTCTCCATGCTCCAAAATATTCAGTTTTGTTTTCATATATTCTGTTCTCTTAAAAGTTCTTGGTCACAGTGCAATATAAACTCTGCAGAAGTTGGCAGCTCCAGCGCCGCTTGCTTTATGCAGCTCTGAGGGGGGAGTTCTCCTTGCCAGCTCGCCTTGCTCTGTCCTTCCTGCACTTGTACAGACACAGGGCCAGGGTGATGACGAAGATGATGACCACGAACACCACTGCTCCGACGATGAAGAACGTGTCTGAAAAATAAAAGGCACCAAGTCATTGTGGGGAGAGAGCTCGTATTCCATTTATCAGTGGACAGAACTAAGGGCTTAACTCCAAATTACACCACCCCACTTTTGCGTAATTTGAAATTTCTTTCCTCCACTCTTTCCACCACAATGCATTTGGGTTAGGAAAGAATTTGCCAAACCCTAGATGTTTTAGGGCAATTGACAAAAGCATTAAGTGGGCCATTTAGTAAACTGAATAAAGTTCATAGTCTAGAGAAGGTACACGGAGGTTGAAGTAAGAGCAGCTGTCAGAAACAAGTGGCTAAAAATAATGCTGACTTTCGTGGCAATGATTACAGAACATGAACACTCAGTGCCAAGAGACACCCAGAGTGCTACCAGAATTCAGGTGAAGAGAGATGGTAACTGGCTGGGACAATAAGAAGGCTTCCTGGTGGTTCTCAAAGGACACATGTCAGCAGACAGAGAAGAGACCTGGGAAGCAGTGCCCGGGATGTGCACGCAGACAGGGGCAGCAGGACTCGAGCTGGCTTTAGGAAGATGGATGTGAGGGCTGTGGGTGCAGGACCAGAGAGAAGGAGAATCCTTTCCTTCTGTCAGTGTCAATAAATGGAAGAGAATTTACTTTAAAGCATTTTTAAAATTTTCACATCTCTTCTTAGCAAGGAGCTAGGTCATCATTACTATCCTTGGACTTTTCATCCCTGAAAGTACTCAGGGAGACTCACAGGCTTTCAGCCTCATGTACATGTCTGAACACTCACAGAAGTTCCAGTTAGGAACCACTCCTCACCATGTGTGGGCCCCGGTGTGTGCACATGCATGGACACATGTACATGAGCATATGTGAGAGAATTGCTCCCTGCCCTTCATGGGTTAGACCTTATATCCTCTGTGGGTGGGAACAGCCCATTGTGGGTGTTCACAGCTGGTGCAGATGCTCCCCTCAAACCCCGAAGATTAGAATTTAAGTATGAAAACATGCCCAGAGAAATCTGTGATTGATGCTAAACCTCAAACATGACCGTGTGCCCAGTGCTCAGCAGAGAGCTTAGGACATAGTAGGTGTTGAAGAAAATACTTGTTACTATAAGGGAACAACACAAAAACAGTTCTAAATGCCTAAAATTATGAGTAACTTCCAAAGCACAAAACCAAGAAAAACCAAGACAGTTTCTCTCTGAACAAAAGTACATCCTGGTTCTGAGGGTGCAGCTGGTCCTCTGGAAGGCGTCTGTGCATCCCCGACACTCACCTTTGAACACGCCTTTCTCAGGGCTAGTGCACTCAATGGCACTTTCTGGGCTCTTCTGGTTAGCTTTTCGTGATGGAATCACTGCTTGAACATTGAAACAATAGTCTTCTCCTTTTTCCACATCAATCAAAAACTCGTTAGTGTCTGTCTTGGCTGTTTTCTGTTAAAAGATAAAAGAGTTCTTAATTCATCTGGGCCTCAAGTGAGTTTTCTCCTTTACTCAGTCACTGTGGAGGTAAAAGCCCACATGGACACATCTGACATGCACAGGATTAGAAGTGGCTCGGCTAAATAGTTCCCCGTGATAACTGCTGAAGATGGTTTCTCCAAGACTAGAGCTATCCAATTTAGCACCTTCAGAAGATGTTTGCAGTAAGGAAAAAACGCATGCTGTATTAATTATTGAATGGAAAATGAATTTTGCCTCTGTGATCCTCAATAGAGAAAGAAATGTGAGACCTGACAGGAACTTTAGGGATTTTCTGGTCCAGCCTCTTGGCTGAGGAACCTGAGTATCCGAGGGGGCCCTGCCCAATGTCACAAGGTCGCTGAAAGTCACAGGTAGAACCAGGACAGTAGGACCCCCCTCCCACTCCACCACACTGCCCTCTCAACCACCCTGGTCTGCTATTTTTGAATTGGGGAAGAAGTGGGTTGTAAAATCAAGGTCCCGTGATTTAAAGCAAGTCATAAAAACAAATGAAAGAATCCTCACCTTTCCTGTACTTGAAGCTTTCCAATAATAAAGCGTGTAACTTAAGTCCTTGCCAAAGACATCCCGGAGGCTCAGGAATGTGCCATTCCTTCTCACTAAGGTCTGTGCATCCTGTACGGTCACATTCAGTTTTGTTCCAACTTGCTCAAAACTCTGAATTGTTGGCCGTCCAAGGTTTGCTAAAACAGAAGATAAACATTGTTGGAACCAAAGAACTCTCTATGAACTAGAATCCCATTTAGTGACCACAGTTCATAACACCTTGGTCATCCCTCATAAAACACCTGCAGAAAACCAGCTCCCCGGCGATAGTGAGCGAGGCGGCACCAGAACTGGGCCCTGAGACCTTCTACAGCAGGGCTGCCCAATGTCATTTTACATTTCCTTGTAGTCACATCAGAAAATGTGAAAAGGAACAGGTGAAGTTAATTTCAATAATATATTTTATTTAACCCAATATAGGAAAATATCATTTTAGCATGTAATCAATCTAAAAACTTTTGGAGATATTTTTCAAAATCTAGTGTGTATTTTTACTCTTACATCACTAGCCATATTTCTAGTGCTCAACAGCCACGTGCGATTAGTGGCTATTGTATTAAACAACACAGTTGCACAAGATTCCATATTTTAGGTACAATGACTTAGGGGCTGTGGGAAAGCCCGGGAAATGTCCTTGGTACCTCGAGGAACCCATTTAATCCTTGGGACTCTGGAGGGTTCAATGATTTCATGTGTTTTGGTTGAATGACAGTAAAACCAATCCCAATAATTTAATTCAAACGAGAGCCAAGTTATGTGTGAACATGTGCAAAATAAGTATGTAAAATATATTCTATCTTGTACCAAAAATGGATTTGAAATGGCTTACAAGAAACTCAAAGACTGTAACAGAAAATGCAGAGGATGCTGTCAATGGAAGGAGAAGGGCAGTCCATGACCCAGCGGGGTTCCCAGAGGTAGCTATGGATGCGGTGTTTAAACCCCTGGGGGCCCTGACAGACATACAAGTGAAAGGCAGTAAAAGCGTCTGAGGACAGATTTTGGCAAACAAGGGCTCAGGGAAGGCAGCCAGATTCACCTGGGCTAAGGCTACCTTCTATTTCGACCCTCAGAGTAGATACTAGAGGGGAAAGATTGGTTGACTGTCCCTCTGTCCCTTCTCACCCTCCCTGCCTGGAGAAACTATTCTCTCACTGGGTGGTCAGAGAGAGAGGTATAAAAGCGTCAATAGCATCACACTTTCATTTTGACCTTTCGTTCTAGGTCTTCTTAAAAGATCTTTGAAGATTTAAAGACCTTAAAAAGACCTTAAAAGATTTCACCCTTCCCACTGTGCTACATGTTTATTTAAAACACCTAGTTCAGAACCACAGTCATGACAAAAAAATGTAATCTCCAACTTGGCAGGAGTCCTGTGCATTCCCTTAGGAGATACTAAGGTCAGCTTACTGGAGCAAAAACTAAAGAGGAAAGCACTCTGCACTTTTAAAAACCAGCACAACGGAGGCAGACTGGGAGCTGGCTGGGCAAGTGTGGTCACAGCACGGGACTTGAAGCATGGGCAACTGGTTGAAAAAGGCCAGCAAGCCTGATTCTGCGATCAGAGGGAAACTGGACTTTCCCTCTACATTTGTGACTATGAAACACCATAAACCAGGCCTTCTGGTCTGATAATAGGACAGAATTTTTAGGATACTATGTGTGTATATAATATATGTAATATATATTTATATATATAAAATCTCATATATATAGATGTCAATATAATCCCTGAAATATATATGGAGAAACACTGAAACCCAGCCTTGGTGGATTTCCTAGTCTCCCCGCCCCATCCAGACTGTTACTGGTACGGTCTGGGGATAGGCCAGTGGAGAAAGTTACTTGACACTTATGAACTCCAAAGTTCACGCTCTGTGAACCTCCTACCACACCCAAATAAGTGAAGAGGGCTGGGGCACTTTCTGGTTTCTGAGAAAATAGATGTGGTTATGGAGAAATACTTTTTTATCTAATGGCACCTAGGGGTCATAAGCTCACAAGAAGGTTCAGGAGCTTATAGCAACAAGAATGAAACCTAACTACTTACTCTCTAAGTAAGGTGTGAACTCTGGGGAGTTCCTGTACACCAGCTCCCCAGTGTAACTGGTGGCATTTGCAGCCGTGGAAAGGACCCGTGCTGTGTAGGTCTGCTTCACGTCTTTTACAATCTCATCGGTGAGGTCACACTCCGTGTTTGTTGTGGAGTAGCATTTGCTCTTCCAATTTCCTAATATACGGCTGAAGGAAGGAAGAGAAATGGAACATTGTGATTTGTATCCAACAAGACAGATGGCTTTCTGGCTGTTGTGCTGTTACAATAATAGCATCCACAACCACTCGTGAGCAGGCACTCCTATGCACTTGAGTCCTCACAGTAACCTCGAGTGGCTCTGTAATCATCTCTGTTTTCATAGGTAGGGTAACAGGCAAAATGAGATTAGGTGACCAGCTCAAAGTCACACACCTAGACTTAAAGCGAGACAGCAGTTGGGTCTGTGCTCTTAACCATTTTATTAAGTATCTTTCTTAAAATGTAGATGGTTTTTTATTAAGGCCCAATTATTTATTACTTAATATATTCTATTTATTATATCACACTTTATGTTCTCTGTAGAATATAGTCCATGCAGTAAGAATGAAGCCTATATAGTATGTTCTATATGTTACATTTTATCATGACAATTATTGGTGTGGTTATTTAACAATTATTGAATTAACTACATGCCAACTACTGTACTAGGCCCTTTGCACATGTTATTCATTTAAAAAATATATATTTTTATTGATTTCAGAGAGAGGAAGGGAGAGGGAAAGAGAGAGATAGAAACATCAATGATGAGAGAGTCATTGATCGGCTGTCTCCTGCACGCCCCTGACTGGGGATCGAGCCTGCAACCCAGGCATGTGCCCCGACTGGGAATCAAACCACAATCTCCTGGCTCCTACGTCGATGCTCAACCGCTGAGCCACGCCGGGCCAGGCCATGTTACTTCATTTAATGCAATCCTTCCAAGGAGGTACTGGGTCTTTTTTACACACAAGGATACTGAAGCTCAGATATGCTAAGTAACTACAAGGTCACATAACTAACGAAGTGAGAACTGGGTCTTTTCCTCTCATTCTACTACATGCCTCCCTCACTTTTACAAGATGTGAATACATCCCATTAAAGATAATAGAATATCAATGCAGGTAGTATCTCTCTAATAAAGTCTGAAAGACTAAGAGGCTAAAAGAGCTTTCTGTTGTAAGACCTCATCGAAGAGGAAATGATTTAAAGAACTTCTATAAATATAAAATTATTTTAAAGGACCCAAACAATTCATAAATAAATGTCATTGCAACTTGACCCACACACTTCTGTCCCCTGTAAGTGGACAGCCACACTGCTCTTCCCTTCTCTTCAGCATCATCGACGGCCACAGCCCCGTCCACCATTTAAGACTATGTTCCAATCACACTTTTCCCAGGAATTTCCAGATCTCCTTGCTCAGATTTGATCTCTCCCTTCCTTGTTGTCCCCTAACACTGATATCTTCATTAAGAAATTAATGTTGAACACGGTCTGCTTGGTACCAAGGGTCCATGCCTCTGTGTTTGCTGTTAAATAGCAAGGCTGTAAGGCTTACACACAGCCAGGCCTTGTTGAGTATTAGATGGTTTGCATTAGCAGGTTAAATCAGGGAGAAAACAAGCTGAATTAAATAGTCCAAATCTATGCATAAGATCCATAAATACGTATTTTTCAAAAATCTGAACTAAATAACCAGATTAAGGTATGGGTGAACACACTCTTTGCCCTAAAATTCTCAAACTAACATTGATACAGAAAGATTCTGATTTCTTTGATTCCTCTAATTTTCTGTGATAGAAGTAGAGAGGCTGTCTTAACTCCAGAGTGAGCAAAATGCATTTAGCATGTTAGTACTCTAGGGCAAAATTTAGGACAAGCACCATATCACCGAAACTAGTAAAGTTGGTGAAGTTGTATGAACAGGTAATGAAGGGGCAATTCTGTAGTAGGTTCCTCTGAACACTCTCACCAGCATTAACACTTTAAAAGCCTTTGAGGGTTCTCTAGGTATTTATTGCAAAATCTCCTGATTTGGAAATAATAAAAGTCCTGCTTTCATTACTTAAAAATTCTAACAGAATCAAGACTCATCAGTGGAGGAGCAGGTTGTTTTCTAGAAGCTTTGGAAGATCTGTTTTAGAATTCAAACATTCCCATGGAATCCATGTTACAGGTGATGTTGCACTGTTCGAGACAATAACACTGTGCACCCCTCACTGAAACTGTTTCCAAATGGGAAAAATACAACTGGAGCTCCAAGTAGGGGCTCCAGGCCCAGCAGTGGCGCCCCCTGCTGGGGACAGGCCTGTAGTGGGTGCAGAGGAGCAACAGATAAAGAGGAGGGCAGGCTAAGATGTTTTTTCTACAGAAAAAAACTGGGAGGGGAGGCAGCCCACTGAGGAGACAGAGCCTCACAGAGCAGCCTGAGGAGTAAGGAGACACTCGGTGCTTTGGCACCAACCCTCCTTCCTCTCCCAGCTATGGGGGCTCACATCAACTGTGGCAGACCCACCAGAGAAGGTGGTGGTGGTGGCATCCTGGGGAGACCTTGGTTCCAGACCTGGCTGGATGTTCACCATCAATGCACTCATGAAGAAATCCCTCACCTTCCCAGGGCAACAAGAACCCTGTGTCCGTGGACGCCCTTAAGCGGCAGCTCTGCACTAAGATGTCTGCACATTAGGGGCCCCATTCACTTTAAATAACAGCCTTGGGAAATCCAAGAGCTGAGAGTTAACAAAGGCTTATGTTTAAAAATCAGGTAAATCATAAATAGGTTTCCACATGTTCACTAAACATAAGGCTGAATTCATTTAGGAGGTAAGCATCCCTCCTAGAATGCTATTTTCAGTCTCTGGAAGAAAAGTGTCTACTAAAGTAAATGTCAGCTCTGTATTCTTGACTAGTGGAATCTGAACTGACAAATTTGACCATAATCATAATTATGACCTCAGGTTATGAAATTCCTTTCTCTTTCTCCCTCCCTCTCTCTATCTATACACGCATTTGTGCGCACGCACACAAATCCTCTTCTTTGCTGGTCGTGAAGTTCATTTTGAAAAGCAAGAACATTCCCCTAAAAGACCCCCTCCATACGAAGGAGTTGCATTCCTAATGCTACAAAAGGCTCAACACAAGCTAAACAAAACAAAACAGAAAGCAAAACACTTTTCATTTTAGACAGTGAAACTTCTGTGTCTTTATACAATTAGTGTTAAAATAATTTCCACAGCTGCTCTCCTCTAATTAATAAGATCTCCACCAAGCCTCCTAGAACCTTTCAGAAACCAGAAACTCGCAAGAATATGGTGAAAGCCATCAAGGAAGACACGTCAACATTAAGACTGAATATACTGAATTATGGACCCTTGGGGAGAGCTGTCAATCAGAGACCAGGTTAAATGAGCAGGGCAGCCCTTTCCCGAGGGGTGAGTCACCAAATTGACCTCCTACGATATCCTGTATGCAACCGAATTTTGAATTATAAGTCCAAGAATGAACACATCAAACATTGCTTCGGGCGATGTATATATCCGCACTCCTGCCCATCTCTTCCCTAGCATGTTTGAGCAGGCTCACAGTCTAGACTACACAAAAAGTTGCATGCGCTTAGGTGAGACTGTGTCTCCAGCAGCACATCTGTCGGTGCCAGCGTGGCCTGCTCAGGAAGGTTCACCTCTCCACAGCTCCCACTCCACTTAGGAATTTCCTATCACCTCCAAAAACAATTAAAATGTTTTATCAGGTTAAGGTCCGGAAATGTTGCAGGCTTAACAGAGTATGGCCCTGGTCAGCAAATTACCATGTCCTCTATTAAATATTCTCACCCATCAATCAGCTTTAAAGACATTTGTATTCAGCATAGGAAAGGAGAAACATCAAAAACCATATTTTTCTTTCTTTATATCTAGCTTACCTGATCTGAACAGTGTAGACATGATTGATAGGTTTGGGTTCCCACTCCAAAATAGTCTTGAAATTAGTTGATTTCCAAGTTAAATTATATGCTACCATGACACCTGTAGCGTAAACAAAAGAGAAACAGCTCTTATTCCATCAACTTCTTAGCACACGATTTCATGCTGAAGGTATAAAACACCTTACTCCCCAAACATCACGATAAACCTCCCAGTAATTTTTTTCCAACTACAAAAGCTTCATTCCTGAATTATCAAGAGAAAAAAAAAAATCTTCAAAATTTCCCCTAACCCCGAATTTCCTCGTGGTAGGATCTCAGGAAAGGGCCTTAAAGTTATTGTTTGGAATCACTCATGGGGGTCTCCTTGTGATAACCTGACCTGGAAGCCCAGCTCAGGGGTCCTCAGTGCCCGGGCCTCCATGGCCCAGCTGGGAGGGCACAGGATTCTAAGGCTGAACTCTGGCCGGGAAGGCGGCCGGGAAGGGTCTTGCATAAGTTATGGAAAAGGGCAGCTCCCCAGTGTGTGAGAGGAGTTGGGGCCCATATAATGAAATAGCCCAATCCTGACCTTTTCCATTTTTTTCTAAAATGTCCCTGTACTGAAACTTCCACAGACACCCGGGCACATGCGCTCCTGTCACGCGGGGGCATGTGCACTGGTTAGGATGCTTCATTATTAAGGTCTGCTTTGCCAATGCTCGGCAGCTCAGCCTCCGGCCTGCCTCGCACACAAACAGGCATATTGGGGCACGGACAATGTACTATTTCCATCCAAGCGACATTTTGCAGTAGGATTGTCTCTCACAGTCTAAAACAAGGGCTGTCAAGACCAGACGGAGTGCGCACTTCACTCTTTATTAAGTGAAGCGCGCGCTTCATTAAGGGTGGTGTCCAAACCGCTGCAGGCGCGGACCCACGCGCCACCTTCAAGGTCACTGGGAAGCGCTTTCCCTAAACTTAAAGCTGGAGCCACAGATTCACTTATGCAGCGACCTGCCTCCCAGCGAGCATCCCTACAGATGCGGGAGGAACCCCCGGCGCGAGCCACCTACCCTCCAACTCGCCCAGGCCCCGGTTCATTCAAACGCGGGTCGGGGAGGGCGACAGAGCTCTGCGGGCGCGGGGGGCACCTCCAGGTAGAAAGTGCGCCCCCTGTCGGCCGGGACTCTCCCCCTCCCCTTCAGGCAGAGCGCCCCACGACTTCAGGGAGGCGGGTGCCACTCACCTGATGCTCCGGCCGCCCGGACGAGGACCCAGCCGAGGAGGAGTATCCTAGAGACGGTGGCCTCGGGCCAGGGCGCCCGGGGTCCGGTGAGGGTCGCCATGACCAAGAGCGGGTGGTGAGGTCGGGAGGATTCGGCTGCGCCCCGGAGGCTGGGGAGGATGGGCTGAAGGCGCGCTCGGCCAGAGCGCGGGAAGGGACGCGGGGAGCGCGAGTCTGGGGGAGCCCGTGCGGGGCGCTATAAAGGGCCGCGCGGACGCCCGCGCCTCGGCGCTCCCGACTCCCCGCCCCTCCGGCCGCGGTGGGCGGCCCCGAAGAATCCACACCCCTGCCCCGGCTCCGCCCGGTAGGAAACTCCGGGACCCTGCAAGGAGTGATTCACCCGTGATTCAAACGCGCCGCCGAGCTCTAAGTTGCCCCTCGGTCGCAGGAGGCTCCAGGCGCCGAGGGGAACCAGGGCTCCCGCCCCTCCAGGTCCCCTGACCCTCCAGCCCCCTGGCCCCAAGCCATCGAGGCCGGCGACACGGCCGCGCAGCCTGAGTGGACAGCAGGTCTGTGGGGGGACGACGGAGAAGGAGCGTTGGAGGGAGTTCTTGGGGTGCAGGAGAGGGCTTCTTCCTTCCATTCGGGGACACTGTGTTGTCCCGGCCGGGCGAGCGGCAGCGTTTACCTAGTTTAATAGCAACTAGGGGCCTAGGCTCCCCTCGGTCATTGAGGGCATTTCCCCTCCCCGCCCTTGGCCCACGTTGGGGCTGAGCCTTGGAATCTGCAGCCCAGGAATCGCGCGGCGATGAGCAGGGTCTTGCACCCCGAAAGCAATGATGCCTGGCCGAGCTACCCCACAGGGCCCTTAGCGTGGATCCATAAAGGTGGTGCAGGGGCAGGTGTCTGCCCACAGGTCCGAAGGTCAGTTAGCCCCTGAGTGACTCAGGGTAGTGACCCTGGAAAAGCAGCCCCAGACCTGGCATTTTGCCTGTGGGAGAGTTCCAGGGTGACATCTGCAGCCCTGTGGTTCCAGAAAGGATTGTTCTCACATTGAAGAAGACATCTGTGGAACTGAGTTCCGCTCAAGTGCAGAGAAACAAAAAATGAAATTAAATGATGCAATCAGATTTTCGTGCCGCTAGTCCTAAATTTGGGGTTTTCTGAATTAGTTTCTGGCTCCTTCTTCTGGGCTCTGCTGTGACACGGTTAGGCAAGAGAATGTCCCCTTATTCTAGTGAGTGGCGTTGTACACGGGCTTGTCCAAGTACTTCCCAGCATTCGTTATTACTCTGTAGTTGCCTCCAAGACAGACTGGAGAGTTTTCCCAGGGACAGTGGTCTTTTCTTTCTCGCCTTCTCCCCCACTTTTTTTCCCTAGGGAAACCAGCCTTGCATTTTAGTGCATGCTGCACACACATTTCCATGTAGCCTGCTGAGCCATAGCATTACCCTCATTTTCAAAAGAAGCAAAACTTTGTAAAAAGTTTTAGTTTCTCCCTTTGCCTGAACTGAAATAGCACATCCAGGTTTAGCTCTTGCAGTCCTTCCGTCCTGGAAGCTGGAAGCTGGAAGCTGCACTTGCTGGTTTCCTCTTTGAGCTCTCTTCCAGCTCTAAAACCCACAAAGTTTTTATTTGCAAACTAAGCATGTGATCCTCCTTGTTGCAGTATCTGCCTGAGTCGTTTTCCTTAACAGATCTTTATCCCAGATGGAATATGATCTTTTTGTCCTCTGGAGCTGAAGGTAAGTAGGAGAAAATGTTACATTTTAATCAAGTGTGTCAGAAGACCCAAGGAATTATCACTCTGTCTACAGGTTCCATCTGGAGCCACCAACTGTCCTGAAATCAGAAAGGGCTTTAAACCATGTCAAGATCAGCAATTTGATAAGAAAAATGTTTTACATTAGATTGTGATGCAAAAGGTACCTTAAAGGTTGATAAATATTTATTTTGCACACTCACTAAAAGTATCAGGCAGAGAAGAGAGGAATTTCTTGGGTGTTTGCATGGATTTTGGAGTAAATATAGAATATTTACTAAAACGCTAAAAATTATTACTATCTTCAAGAAGAAGAGGAAGAAAATTTGCCATGATAAATAACATCTCATAGCAAAGTATTTTCCTGGTTGATCAGACTGTGGCCAGATGCTCAGCACTGTTAAAAGTACATTTCTAAAATTTCATGGTTGGTATTGATTGTACAGGAACAAACTGATTGTTAAAAAATTTCACCGACCTTACACAATTTTTTAACCCCCTTCAGTAAAGTCAAGCTTAGCAGTTACCAATGTTCCCTCCTATATGATACATCTTGGAGACTCTGAGGAGTTTGAAAAATTCCTGAACTATAATGACAACCAGGCTGGCCTGACCAATCCCTTTATGATTAGATATTAGAATGTCGGAGGGCTGGAGGGGACCTCACAGATATCCTTTTACGGATGAGAATCCTGAGGCCACCTGGCCTGAGTGAACTGCTTGCCTAACCTAGAGTCAGGTCTATCTGACCTCAGGAGATTTCTTTCAACTGCTATGCTTTCTTCTATTCCCAATGCACGCAAGTACGACTGGGCCCTAAGCCCAGGCTTATTGTATTTATTTAGTCATCTATAAGCACTTAGCAGTGCTGTGCAGTTGGCGTGGAACAAACTTGCAGTTTGGGGAACTCGCTGTTGTCCAGCAGAAATATCCTGATGGTGGTTCCTTGAAACACGCATGCAGGGAGACGTGTAGGAGAGGCTGCGTTCGTTGCCTTTGCACAACCAGTGATGAAATGTGGTTGATGAGGAGCCGAAAGATGACTGGGGCGATGTTGCAGCCCTTCCTCTGTGCTTTTACAGTACTTCCCACCGGTTTCACTGACTTGATTTTATTGCGTGCTTCACTTGATCTTGACTATATTTGTTGTCTGTCTTCCCCCCTACAGCTCCTTGGGGGAAATAAGGAGGTGTGTTTTTTTTCTTTATATTTCTCAACCCTTTGCACAATTACCAGCGCATGGTAAGCTTTTAGTACACTTTGAATCAAAGAATACTTTTGGAACCTTGCATGCAGCCAAATATTTTCATTAGTATTCTAGAGATGAAATTTGTCATTGAAATGTTTCTGTCTCAGGGCTGGTCAGTGAGTGTCCAATGCTCAGATTGGTTAGAAAATATAAATCCATTGTGGGTTTCGAGGCATCACTTGACAGCAAGCTCCAGCTGTCTAACTAGTGATTACTGATCCTTGCTACAGCCAGAAAATCTAATCAGCAGGAGAGGTAGCTGAAGAGCAGAAAACAAATGTAGACGTTTGGGAACTAGTTAGCATTTTTGCAAAAGACTGGATTCTAGGGTGAGTCAGGAGAATTTTCAGCCACATGATGAAGCCATTGAGAGCTCTCCTTGAATAGCAAGGCTTAATGACTTTTCAGAATGAATTGTACAAAATATATATCTCCTCAGGAAAGGGTGATAGCAGGTGAAATTGAGAGTAGTTCATGTAAAACTATTACATGCATATGAAATAGCAAAAAGAGCTATGAAGCCATTCTATCCCAAATTCAGGTAAAAGGGAAAATATGAGAAAAGACCAGAGGGAATTAAGAGTGGGAACACAGAGTTCTGAGGGAAAAAAAGTGACTCAGCAGAACCTAAAACACATCTGGCAGGGTATAGTTAGTCATGAGAAATTTGGCAGTCATGATTATGCATTTTGTAAAAATAATTATAGCTAGTCCAACAGCTAACATTAAGGCCAAGATTAAATAGTTGAAAGCCCATACAGTGTAATCTATTATCCTGGTCATTCAAAATCCTTCTATTAAAGTTTAAAGAAAGCTTTGACAAATAAGTGATCACATAGCACCCATATACTGAAAAGTATAATTTTAGAGAAAAGGCTTCCAGTTGAAATGTTAGGCAAGGATTAGTATTTTCAGCATACAACTATCATTATAAATCTAAGGCTTTTCAAACTACTTGTCACTTTCACTTTGATTAACAGTGAGCATTATTTTTATTCCCTACATACAATAGTGACAAAATAAATAAAAACATAAATATAATTTGTGTGTATTGTTTTAGTAACAAAAAGTCATTTAAAATGAAAATATTTAACTTATGTTTTTATTAATATAACACATATGATTTGAAAGTTTTTATATGGTATCATTTTATGTAAGCATCTCTTAATTCTCCATTTCCAAAACTCCTTATACTTGGCATATGTACTAATTTGATGAACAGAAATTGGTTCACTCAATAAATACTTGAATATCTACTTGATGCTGAGTTCTCTGCTAGATTCTGACTATACAGAATAAAACAGAGTCCTTTTCCTATGAGACATATCATCACTCCTATTTACTGTCTCAACTTTAATGGTTTGAATGATTTTCTGTCAGTATTCTGGGTTCTATATAAAACAATTTTAACAATATTATTTATTAATAAATTTTATTCCATACAAACAAAGTAAGATTTAGGCGTGTCTTGGTTAGTCCATCAAACAAGTATCTTTAACTCAGAAAATTATCTGTGAGCTTGAAATACATGGACTTCATCAATTTGAATGTATTGATGAACTCACAAAGTTTTGCACATGGAAAGAAATAGTAAATCCTAATACAGAAAAATGATGCTATAAAAAGGCAAGTCTAACAAAAAATATAACTAAGCATGGAATTCCTCAGATAAAGAATTAAAACATTAGTGAAATAACCAATTTTAAAGCTTCGTATGTGAGGCTTCAATCTTTTTTACATAATTTATTTGTTGACATAATATAGCATAATTTGCAGATGCTCCAAAGTGTTATACCCATTCAGTCACTTGCTGCCTTTAATGGACAATATTCCATCCTATTACACCAACTCCTCTATCAGAACTTTCAAGCCAGGAAGTAATTCCTGGATAAAGGAAGTTATTTCCACACTGGAAGCATGTGAATAATGTTTGGCTAGTTGTAATTGCCATCCTAAACCATTACCCTTTAAGCTATGACATTATAGCAACTCAAAGTTCTAAATCAGCTACAAACAAATCATAAAATGACTCATATTCTCTATCATAAGGGAAGTAAAAGGAGATATACTATAGAGAGTGCTTGTGTTACCGTGACAGTGACTGGATTTTCAGAATTTGGTAAACTTCATAGACAGCTGTTAAAATGACCAAATAGAAAGGATTGGTCTTAAGCCTGGACCTTAATCTTAAGAATAATATTTGTTTTAGAGCTCCTATCCTTTATGGATTTGTTAACCAAGATCCTGCCTTATACAGGTTAATAAATATTTATTGAGAGATTACTATGTGCAAAGCAATGCTCCAGGAACTATTTTATGAGTTCCTTTTCTAAAACATCTTGGAAACTAGTCAGGGACAGCTCCAGGGGAGAAGGCAGTGTAAATGAAGCGGGACATGTTGCCCAGAGACTGCCCGGCACAGTGCCTGGCACATAGTAGGTCCTCTATATCCATAAAGCTTTGTTTAAAGATCTAAAAGGTACTTGGGACCTCCAAGGGGAGAGTTTACTTTTCAGTAGGGTGATGAAAGAAGGTTCCCTTGAGGAAAGCAATGTCTGAGCTGGATTGCAGGGGAACACAGGGGGAAGAGGTGGGCCAAAGGCTGAGGGGTGAGCAGAGAGCGGCCGTGTGTAATGGGTTTAGAGAGTAGGGGTCTTGTAGGTGAGAATTGTGGCTAGAAGCTAGAAAGATGCTTGTGGCCAGCTTCGTGGGCTCCACTAAGAGGTCTGAACTTGATTCAGCAGACAGTACCTTAAGAAGCTTATTTTTCTGGTCAAGGTATATCAGAAGAATTGAGTCAGGGGGACACATCAAGAAGCTAAGCCTCTGCCCCACATGGTGGCTGAGGCGTAGAAAGGAAGGATAGCTGTAGGGAGCAGTGTGAAGGAAGGAGCAGTAGGACTTAGTGTCTGAGCATGGGTGAGGCAGAAGGAGAGAGGAAATGAGGTCTCGGGACAGAGAAAGGTGGCCACACAGGTCCCGTTAGAGCCTGGAAGAGAAGGCTGGCAGCTCAATAATGATGAGTTCTAGGCATGTTGCAGTCAAAGGGCAGTGGACTTCCAGGGAAAATGCCCAGCACAGAGAGTTCGCAGTGGGGTGCCAAGGCTTGGGAAGAAATTGAGGCTGAGGATAGGGATTGAGGACCTTTTGCCTAGAGGTTTGCTCAAAGATGTAAATGTGAACAGTGTTTCCATGGGAGGGTCTGTAGTGACAACAAATCCCTTAGCAAGCAACAGCGACCTGCTTAGCCTACCTCAAGTTCAAGGGGAATGCATAGGGTATGAGCCTGGGAAGCTCACAGCCCAATGAAAGGGCTTCCGAAGTGAGGGCCTTTGAAACCGGGTCTCTCGCCCTTGCCTGCTCTCTCGCATCTCTTATTTCAGCTGATCTCCATTTTATTCTGCAGATGAACTCCGTGTAGTAGGGCCAGATGCTGCCAACAGCCCCAGAGCCGCATGCTCTCAGCTTCATCGCACCAGAGTCCAGACATCAGTGCCAGAGAATGACATTGATTGTCCCTGCTTGGGGCACATGCTCACTCCTGGGTCTGGTTCATGTGTCTAGGCCTGGTTGTGTGTCCACTTCTGGGGCCAGGGGGTGGGTTTGCTACTGGAAGGAGCAGGTTGATAAAGTTAGTGGCTTGACAGAAAGCAATAGATACCACTAAACCTAGGACTGAGGCTGGGACATGACCATGTTATGCTGCTAAAAGACGAAGATAGCCCACGGAAAAA